CCCCCGCTGCCGTCCCCGGTGTGTGTGTGTGTCCGTGTGTCCCCCCGCTGCCGTACCTGGGGGTGTGTGTGTGTGTCCGTGTGTCCCCACTGCCGTCCCCGGGGGGGGAGGTGTGCCGCTGCCGGTAGAGCGGTGGCTTTTGCTGGGATAAGGATAAAAACGTCTCCTTTCAGATAACAGCGTGGCGTGGTTCTCCATTCCATGCCATCTGCCCCAGGTGGGTTCCTGCATCCGACCTGGCTAAAGCCCGTTAGTGGTGGCTGTGATCCCATTCACCACTGGTGCACACGGAGGGGAGCTCCGCGGCAAGGGGGGGCTGTCATGACCAGCCAGTGCCATGCTGTCCAGGGGCAAGGCACGCTCCGTTCTGGGTTGTGGCTGGCTCCAGCAAGCAGCCAGGCCGGTGGTTTTGCACGAAGCTCGGTTACAGGAGCGTGCGGGTCCTTGATGACTCGGAGCCGGCTCGTGGGCACATGTGTGAAAGCCCTGCTTTGCCTGTTACTGCTGCACTCCGAGATACAGCGGTGACTCAGAGAATCTTTGATACGTATGTGTTATCTGGCTGCTTGCAACGGTGATCCCTGGATCCCGGCCTTGTGAGATGGGGCTTGCATGCAGGAGGTCTGGAAAGGTTCCTCCTCTGTTGGAGGAGGTGATGTGGCTGGTGCCTCTCCTTGGTGTACAGGCACAACTTCTTCCTTAGACTGGCACGTGGTGTTCACTAGTGAAGCACACGAGCTGAAGGAAACATTCTCCGTACCACAGTCGTCCTCTCCTCTGGGGCTTGACTATGACAGTAAATCTTCCATTTTATTTACTGGTAACTTTTTTTCAGAGCGAGCGAAAGAAACAGGAGCAAATCGAAGTCCAGAAGGAGAAGCAGAGAGAGCTGATCCTGCAGCTCAAGACACAGCTGGATGACCTGGAGACGTTTGCTTACCAGGAGGGCAGCTATGATTCTCTGCCACAGTCTGTGGTTATGGAAAGACAGCGGGTAAGGCTCACAAAGTCCTTCTGCCTGCATTTCTTCCAGGCATTTGTAAGCCTCTTGTAGAGTGTAGGAGTCGGTCAGTCCTTATTTCTCCCCAGGAGCTGTAATAGAGTATCAGTAGTTCGTTTGCAGGTGTAAACCTGTCCCATGTCTTCTCTTGCAACTTCCTATGTGCATCAAAGTGGCCCATTTCCAAGGTGATGAACGGCTAAAAGAGTATTTTGAAGCTCATGGGCAGCAACGCCACACAGTGAGATCATGCTACTAACTTGTGTTTTGCAGATGATTATAAACGAGTTGATAAAGAAGCTGGACATGGACTTGAGTGAAGATATTGCAACGCTCTCTCCAGAGGAATTACGACAGCGTGTGGATGCTGCCATAGCGCAGATTGTTAATCCAGCCAGGGTGAAGGAGCAGCTGGTGGAACAACTGAAGACACAGATAAGGGACCTTGAAATGTTCATCAACTTCATTCAGGGTCAGTGCTGAGTTTTTGGATGGGCGGACTGAATTGCTTTGTAATTCCCTGACAAAGTTATGAGGAGGGAGGTCATGGATGTCAGAGGGTGCAGGAAGGGTGTCTGGGTCACGGAGAAGTACAGGTCTCTGAATCATGGTGGGGAGAACAAGACACTGTGACAAAAAAAGTGCAGAGAGGTCTAAGGAATGACCTTAATACTTGGGATAAGCAGTATAAATTCACAAGTGTGAAATACTAGTGTGAAATTCTTGTTCTAGACGAAGTTGGAAGCTCCGGTAAGGCGGAGGATGGACACTGTGAATGTGCGGGCAGAAAAGATGGTGGTGGCTCCTACAAACCAAATACACGGCCTTCTGGAAACAGAGGTGGGCATTGCTTGGCTCAGAGCTTGTGGCACTGCTCCTGCCGTTGCTCGTGTGTGGTTCGGCAAGCATGACCCAGCATCCAGTCACGCTAGGCTGCTTTGCTTTTTCTCCTGACAGTTGGTTTCTGTTCGCTCCTCCTCCCACTGACAGAAGGCCTCTGTCCAATTGCTGAACCCTTCCTGCATGGGGTCGTTAGAGTAATCACAGAACCTGAATGTGTGGCATAAAGGGTGGGGTTGGCTCTCCTACGAGGACAGGCTGAGAGAGTTGGGGCTGTTCAGCCTGCAGAAGAGAAAGCTGTGGGGAGACCTGATTGTGGTCTTTCAGTGCTTAAAGAGGGCCCATGGGAAAGATGGGGGAAATCTTTTCAGCAAGGCCTGCTGTGACAGGACAAGGGGTGATGGTTTTAAACTAAACCAGGGTAGGTTTAGACTGGATCTAAGGAAGAAATCCTTTACACTGAGGGTGGTGAAACCCTGGCAGGGGTTGCCCAGAGAGGTGGTGGAGGCCCCATCCCTGGGACCATTCAAGGTCAGGTTGGGCTGTGAGCAGCCTGATCTGGTTAAAGGTGTCTCTGCTCCCTGCAGAGTTCCTTCCAACCCAAAGCATTCTGTGATTCTATATAGTGAGCTGGATGGATCCAGTGTTCTTTATAATCTGAGACTTGTCTACTTATCACAGGAATTTATTGTAGCTAGAATAGTATCCTAGAGGAAATACTGCAGTGCCTTTACCTTCTGTAATCTGAGGCACCTGCTGCTAGCCAGAGATCAGATGTTGGCCCACATGGATGTTGGGTCTTATCCAGTGTGGCTGTTCTTGCAAATTGGATTTAATAATGGCATCAGGAGTAAGCAGCATGTGTTAGCCTGCTGAGACAAAATGCTTCTTAAAAGTAGGCAGTGATCTTCAGCAAAGCCTTGGGTCTCTCCTAATTACCTGTGTGATATTGTCATGGCTAAAGAATGACCTTTCCTCGCTATGTATGTGCCACCTACGAAAGCTGCTGTAGGATTTCTTCTCTGTAAGATGATCTCATTGTCGAGAACAGGCCATGCGAAAGTTTGGTTTTCTGGTTGGCTTCAGTGCTTTGAAACTAGAAAAAGCTCCCAAGGAAGAGGGGAGTCCGTGGTGGAGGAGAAGTAGACATTTGTGCTCCCTTTGTGTGCATGAAAGAGCAGTGCTGTTCATTCCTTAATGAGAGTATTTTTTTTTCCTCTCTTTTCTAACCTGATCAGTGAACCCAGAAGACGCCAGGAAGATGCGAGAAACGGGTCTGCACCTCATGCGTCGCATGCTTGCTGTGCTACAAATATTTGCTGTCAGTCAGTTTGGTTGTGCTACCGGTCAGATTCCTCGCACCCTCTGGCAGAATGACCAAGCCAGCAAGGACTATTCCCCCTTAATTAAGAAACTGGAGTTGTCGGTCGAGCGGGTGAGGCAGCTCGCTATGAAACACCAGCAGGAAGACCACGTTATCAGTTCCTCTGATCTGCAGGACATTCCCTTAGGAGGCAGAGATGAGCTGACTCTAGCGGTGCGGAAGGAGTTGACCATTGCTTTGCGAGACCTGATGGCTCACGGGCTCTATGCCTCTTCTCAAGGAATGAGCGTGGTATTGGCACCCATCGCGTGTTTGATTCCTGCGTTCACCTCATCCCCGCAGACCATGCACCCCTGGGAACTCTTTGTGAAGTATTACAACACTAAGAACGGACAAGCCTTTGTGGAATCCCCAGCTCGCAAACTCTCCCAGTCCTTTGCTTTGCCTGTGACAGGAGGAGCGGCCATTACCCCCAAACAGAGTCTGCTGACAGCGATTCACACCGTCCTCACGGAGCACGACCCCTTCAAGCGCAGCGCAGACTCTGAACTGAAAGCTCTGGTGTGTATGGCACTAAATGAGCAGCGCCTGGTCTCCTGGGTAAATCTGATCTGCAAATCTGGAGCTCTGGTACAATCCCACTATCAGCCATGGAGCTACATGGCAAACACAGGCTTTGAGAGTGCGCTCAACATTCTCAGTCGCCTGAGCAACTTGAAGTTCAACCTCCCGGTTGACCTGGCTGTCCGGCAGCTGAAAAACATCAAAGATGCTTTTTGATGTATTTTTACTGTAGATCATACATACCACATCATACTTGTTTTCCACAAGTAGGCAGCTGTCGGGCTCAAGAAGCCTGGCTTTTTTTTTTTAAGACCATGTTTGGCTCTTTGAAATTGGTACTTGCTTTTAGGGAAATCTTACGGTGTCTCGATGCTGGAAATTTGTGTTTTACAAGGCTGCTGCTGCAAAGCTGCTGGAGGTTGTGCACCGTATGGCGCCTCACCCTGCCCTTCTTGTGCAGCTCTGAAGAGCAAAGCCGCTTTGCCGGTGAGCAGATACCGGCGTGTGAGGCTGGCTGCCCCGCGCGTGCCGGAGGCCTGGCCACAGAGGGGGAAAGGCCCTTAGAGCTTAGCTCCTGTGCTGCGCTCGCATGGTTATTTCTCCAAGTTTGTGGTCTAAATCCCTCTTGCCCGGTGTTTGGTTGCCTCGGGTTGCCCGGTGGCGAGTGACTTGGCCTCCCCAGTGTGAATGTGTCAAACCGGGGCGGCTCTGCTGGGTGCGGGGGCTCTGCAATCCCCAGAAGCGGCCACGTTCTTCAGGCTGCCGGGGGACCGGCGCCGGCAGCTTTGTCCAGCACTCCCGAGCTCCTTCGTTTGAAGTTTTTGTGCAATAGTCGGCGCCCCAGCGGCCTGGTGTTTTATAGGGGATGCATTAAATCGCTTCAGCAAGTGTACGTGTGGGGAGAACCCCGTGGCCGTGTTTTAATTTGCGTTCGTGCCTAGCCCTTCTGCTGCGGGTGGGCTAGCGTGCTTGGTTTCTAATATTTATAATCGGCGTTTAGATTATCTGCACTTCCTGCCGGGTGGGGGCTGGGTGTGACGGGGCCGTGCTGCGGCCTAGCCCCGGGGAGGGGCTGGCGGGGCCCG